AAACCCCGGTGGCAAAAAAAAATTTAAAAAAAAACCAAAAAAAAAAAAAAAAAAAAAAAAAATAAAGCATAAAAAAGAAAGGAAAAAATATCGAGGACAAAAATTGAAAGAAAAGAGAAAGAAAGAAAAGAGATACGCACGTATCTGTATCACTCCTCCCAATCAGTCGTGTCTTACACACACATCCCTAAGAATAGATATAAGAAAGTAACGATAAGGAAACCACGTACACATACGTGTGGCATATTTATATCGTGAATGAAACACAATGCTACATTGTCACGTGAAATGTGATTCTAATGTGTATCCAATAATATAAAGCGCTGCACGAGTGTGTTACGAGATAGCAAGATGGCAGCGGCCGATTTCGTTGCTCGTTAACGAACGAACGTTCTCTGGTAAGACGTAGAGAGACACAAAATCTTTACGCACTAGCTAGCTCGCTGCACACGCACGCAAAACAGTGCCGGTTCGCATGCGAGGGGTCAGCTTTTAACAATTTAACTGCCACGTCGATTTTTAATACTTAACGCGACTAATTCTCACGCCCGCAATCGATGGGTAGGGGGTTGAACTTTTTAATTAAGCCTGCCACGTTTTCCGCTGCTACATTTCATTTGCTGCACTATTCAAGACGTCGCTTTCCATGTTTTTCCTTTTTCTTCTTTTCTTCTTCTATTTCCTCTTTTTCTTTTCTTTCCGTTTCTTAGAGCTGCAACGAGAACGAACGCTAAATAGCAGAATGGAAGAGACGTGGGAGGAAATATAGATATTCGTCTCCTATTTGTCAGTTCGTTGCTTTTTACGCTTCTCTGTGTGCTCGTGGGGCAATAATTTTCTTTACGACGATCAACGCGATGAATGGGAGTTGACGAAGTTAAACGTTGTTAAACGGCGTGCGATAGCGAAAAATGTGGTGTTTGGAAAATGGTAGAAATTATCGCGCAGGGGTGGGAGATCTGCACAGACTTGATTTGCTGAATGCGCTTGCTAGAAATCGAAGGACAAACGTACACATCTCGAGCGAAGCTTCGCTTCACTCTCTATATGCAACAGGATGCACGCGTATACTGTTACTCTTTCTCTCTGTCTGGCTGCATTTTCTGTCGCCTTTTGTATGCGTCGTCAATCAATAAGAACCCCTAACAAGCTCCCTGAATTAGAAACACTTAAACAGCCCGCAAGCATATTCGCATCCCGCAATACACGTGCAACCTACGACACGTCGATGGCTCTCGTGGTAATAATTTCGCGGTGCTTAACGGCTAAGAAATTCATTTTTATGCATATATTCGGATCGCTTCAAGGTCCACTCGAGATTACACGAAGCTCTACCACCGGCGAATGAAACCATCGTGCGGCATAGAGAGACTCCAGGAAGGATCGTTCCTCGTCGTTATCGAATCGCAAACACCCAAACGCGGTGGACAAATTGCGAGCGTTCGCTTTCGTATGTGCTTGCTTCACGCTGACGAGAACCGCTTATCGTTCCTCCAACAGAATACATGACACCATGCAATGCTCGCTATATCGATGACAATCTCTACACGATGACAACTTGCACAGTCACTCCAACACCGATCGTCAGTGTCTCTTTTTCTCAAATTTTTTTCTCACACACTACACAGCCACGACGTACCCCCTGCACCCTGTTTCTATTCCTTCCATCCCTCTAGGCTGTCTTCCCATCCGCAATGCAAACCTTCGAACATGGCTTCGTCTCGCGTGAACCCGTTCCCATGTTCAAGCCTTCATCCATCGGCTTTCCGAGAATAATCACAGCATAGGGTGCCTATCGTCCATGTTCGACGATCCCTTGATCCCCTGATGCGACCATCGAGCTTGCATATCACCATCGACGAAGAATTAGCTAGCGAACGAGGGATATCTCGTTGATTCAACGACCAGCACCGTACGCCACGTACGCTCCTAGCCTCAGATATCGATGATCGATAGTGACGTTTCACGGAGACCGAGAGTCACGCTGGTATTAGCCGAGCAGTCGCAATTAGATTTCGTATTTCTGATTGATCTCTAAGCCTAGCTAATTGACTTTTAGCGTAGCGGAAGGGGAGGGGCTGGGGAGCCGTGTGTATCACCGTGGAACTCCAATTCAATTTGACCCATTGTTTCCCCGATAGGTTCTCGTCGCCCTAGCTTAACGTCGGTTCACAGCTCGACGTCGTCGGGCAGGAGTTACAGCGTCAGACGACTGGAGAAGGAGAGGAACGAGAAGGAACAACGACAGGCCTTACAGGAGCTAAGATTGGCTAAGCAACGGGAGCAACAGCAACAGCAGCAGCAGCAACAGCCTACGCCTAGTCCCAGAACTCCTCACTCTATGGACGAGCTGTTGCCTTCCGTGGAAGAAGGGAAGGAGGTCTTTTATAACGAGGTATTTTATAACGACAAGACTCGTTTCGAAAAAGACTCGGTCTGCCGTCCTTTTCTTCACCGATTCGATGATTCTATCGAATCAGCGAGAAGACAGTGGTCACCTGATTCCTTACGTAAGTGTCCATTTTCTTCATCCCTTAGTCACGCTCGGAGATGGATGATGGTCGGGAGAATTGACGAATCGGTTAGGAAATTGCGTCTGTTAGTTGTGCTTTGTTAAATCTTTTACTGAAACGCTGAAATATACTAGCAGGTGCCGACGACATCGGACATAACCGAAGAGACGCCAATGAAAACGACGGCCATAACGACAACCAACGTGAACGCGACCAGATTCGGCGAAATGGCGCCCGTCACCACCTCGACAACGTCCATCTTTGAAACGAACATCGCACCGCGTGCGACCGGTGACATTTTTCAAGTGTAATTAAGGACTAAATACCGACAAACTATAACACACGTGACTCGAATCGAATGATATATAAATCAGTGAAGAGACGAGAAACACGATACACGCAGCGGTACAGTTCCGAATCGCATAGAACAAAAAGAATGTCTCGGGTTTGGAGAAATACGAGAAATTATCGACGAGGCGAGCGATTGGAAAGATGTCCACGTGTGAAATGCTCTGTCACGGACACGGTGCTTGAACGAAAGATAAGGAAACTGTAGATATAAAGGGTACAAAGAGGGGCGGCAGAGTTGTTAAAGTTGAAGTTTTGCTTGAGCCACGCGCGAAGGCCTAGAATTTATTCTAAAATGATATGTTTTTATTACCTAGGTATGATATGGTACCTAGACGTTGAGCCAGCTTTCAGTATAAAAAGAGAAAAAAAAATGAAGAGTTCGGACCAGTTAAGATTGTTCGGCTCTAATATACGTAACATTCAGGAGTATGCCTGACACCTGGACGCAGGTGCAGGTGTACGAAGCTGTACCTGAATATAGGGGTGGTACGTGTTGTATATTTAAGGCTTCAGAGGTTTCGCGGGAATTCTGGTCCAGCAGCGAAAAGTTCCTCGTCCGTAATGGTTGCAAAATTCAGATGACATCCCCGAAATGATCAAGTGCGTTACGAATTACGAGCTAACGCGATTTCCAACAATGACAAGCCATTGTTTCGATCGAACGCCAATTTTTCAAGCTTTTCCTTCATTTCTTTCCTTTTCGTGTGGAAAATTACGCGGGGGGAAGAGGGGTACGAGGCTTCGTTGACCACCCTGATTCGTTTGGAATTTTGGTCACTTTACGGACAAGGAAGAGAATGGGGTTAGCATTCGAGATGATTTTTTACGGCTTAAATTTTTTAAGCATTTACGAATCATTGGTTCGACGATAGAATTTTTTACAAAGTCTCGACCGAATGATCGAGAGTAAAAGCGATTGATCGAACACGGAATCATGCCTCGAGCTAACACCTCGATGCTCGGTACCACGATACTCCATTACGATTTACTTACATATCAATCATTCTTTTCGAGGTACGAATAATATTAGGTTATAAACGAGGTTTTTGCCGATTTAGTAAGCGCAGTGTTAAACTTTACGGTTCTTATTCCTCTCTTATTTATTCTATATTTACCGATAACTCCTTATTATCGATTTAATCACATATCAACGATGGAACAAAATCATTCGAACTTGATCGTTCGGGATACCGGACACGGGAAACCAGAGGTTGAGAAAACGATTATCCAATTGTTTCCATAAATTATCCGCTTGTATGTACAACGCAAATCCGCGTAGCAGTATTCGATAGCCAAAAAGGAAGAAGCGAAACGGGGGGCAGGCTGCGTTTTACGTGGAAATCGATGCAGAGCTTAGAATGTAAATTCAAAATAATCGCGAAGAGGAATGGACGAAGGTATATACATGCGTGTTTCGTTTTACGTGAAGATATCGATGCGTTCGATTGTTTTCTTTTGGAATTTGCTGCGATAAAAAAGCAATTGGCAGGGCATTCTCGAGTGGGTCGAGGCTAAACATACCTCTAATCTTAGATAAATTACTCTGTGAGAACCAAACGGGAAAACGTGGAAAAGTATTATCAGGCTGGTGCTTGGACGAAACGACGATGTGGCGCCAGCAAGAATCGTGCAAGAAACGCTGAGAGAAAAGAGAGAAAAAAAAAAAGAGAGAGAAAAGAAAAAATTACAAAATCAACTGTGCTACGACTTATTGCGATCTCGTTATTTCGCTTTTCTGCGACCGAAACTGCGAGCGGTTTCCTCCCTTTTCTGTCGCTTTTCATCGTGAACATAAACCTGTATCACAATCGACCAAAATCTATTCGGAATACAAGTAGCGAGTACAAGATAAAAGAATTCGTTTGCTCGCGTTTCTCCTCGGATTTACAGAGGCACGGAATTATTTACGTTGAATCGAGCAACTCGTTCGAGGCACATCGTGCAAATTAGATAATTAAATATTTCTCGCTTCCGTTGAATGATCTATGATGGCGCTGCTATTTTATGATACACGATCACGAAACCTTGTGAAAGAATAATACGGTTGGGAAACGACGAATGAAACGACCGGTTGGACGTGCGTTTATTTCTCCCGTTTTTTCGTTTCTATGTTTCCGAACTGGTTGCCACTGAGTTTCCTTTACCGTTTCTTAAATGCCAATGTGAACCGTCTCGTTGCATCGGTGCATACGATTTTCCCGAGTCGCTCGGCTCGCCAATGTAAATTGTAGAGATAAAAAAAAATCGTTAAAAGCAAATTATATATATTCTATATATACATATTCTATATATACTTGTATATACGTAAGAAAGCGAACATGCACGAGGGGCTGTGTTGCATTTCACCGAAATGGCAACTGACGGTGAGAAAAAATGTGATCGCGAGAGAGAGGGAGCGAGAGAGAGAGCGAGAGAGAGAGAGAGAGAGAGAGAGAGAGAGCGAGAGAGTGAAAGAGAGACACGTCCCTATCTACACAGAGCGAAAGAGCAAGTAATTAACTAAAAAGAGAAAAAAAGAGAAAAAGAAAAACCGTGTATCAACATCTCGTGTTCGAATAATTACGCTGCCTTTCCCGATCAAATAATAACTAAATAAATCTAAAAGAAGCAAAAAAAAAAAAACAGTAAAAAAAAAGAATACAAAGAAAGAACAAAAAAGATGTAGGAACGAGAGTCTTAAGAGCGTTCTTGCGACTACCGCGATTCTTACGTTGTAAGTCCTTGCGCGAACGGAGCAACTCATTATCTCACACACATATGTACACTTAAGCACACATAGACACACACGGAACACGAATGAAACACACGGACATACACGGGGACACGTATACGCATCGACACGTGCTAGGAGACATAAGTCACGTGATAGACACGCATAGACACACACGGATACACGTATAGGACAGATACAGGGGGACATGTGTAACATGCACGGACACATACAAACGCACACGCGCACACAGACGCAGAAAAAAGATTATAAAAAAGAAAAAAAAGAAAAAAAATTAAAAATGGAACATAAAACACGCACGTTTTGGCGACGATTGCACGCCCAAATTATCGAATCGATCATAGAACGGATTTAATTCGAACGAATTACACCGTCACAACCCTATTACCATTATTATTACCATGATTATTATGATTATTATTATTACGAGATGATTCGACTCGACCCGCCGCCTGATTTCTAAAAACAAAAACGAACAGAAGAACGGTCGCTGTTCAACGTTATCGTTTTATTCCATTTTAAATGTTTACTGTATAATAAAAATTGTAATATAGTCGTTGGGCAAATAAAGCTCGTTTTTCGATATATACACACATATCACGTAACCACTGCTGGACCTTCCGCCATCTTCGAATAGGTTCGTGCGTCTAATTTCGCGGCTACTCCATTTTCGTCGAATGAAAGTGCCCTGCGTGTCACCCATAAATCCCCAGAATTTTCCTGAATTCTGTATGAACGCCCGTATCAGGCCCGATCTAAATTCGCTAACGAGGTATGCTCGGCACGAATCTCCGGATTAAAAGCTCAGTGTCTCGCGTTGCTTTTGGGTAAACGCTTCGAAGCGCGAGGGAAGCTTCGTTCCTTTCGTGCCTCTTCCGTCCGTTCGACTCTAAAGGAATCGACTGTCATGGAGGAAGAAATAAGCGTTAGAATAGAAGGCAACGCGACAAAACCAGAAAGAACATTACGTCCGATAATGTACGTTTCTTGGTTGCTGGGCGTTGGAGTGGCCAGACCTGGCAACTGTCCAAAATGGATCACCATCGTCCTCCGAGTGATCCATTTTAGCCTTTGCTCGGTGATCGTCGCGTTCAGCGTTGTGGACTTCACAAATTTCGGCAAAGAATTCACCAGCAAGCTGTTCGAAATCATGTACTGCATGAACGAAACCATATGCCACCTTGCAGCCTATTATTACGTTTACCATGTAATGAGGCACTACGACAAGTGGGCCGAGTTGATGAACATGTTGGAATCGTTGGATCAGAATATCTCTAAGGACATGGCTATCAATGACGGATACGTAAAGATCAGCCAAATATTGGCCATTCTGGTAACCCTATTATGTGGCCCAGTGTCACTGGTTACCCATGTTCTTTATTACTACTTCACTGCACCTGACCAAATCTTTGCCTCCGATTTGCTACTCTATTATACAATTGCGCAGACTTTGGTAAACAGTTTCGTGTTCGACGTCGTTGTGTACATGATCTGTCACAGATTTAGAGCGATCAACGAGATGATCAGGCAGTTAAATGAAAACTCGGCAGCCTACTGGATCGCCTTGAAGATTAGGAGAATTAGGAAACTGCACAATGGCACGTGTATTGACACATTTCTTGCAGTATAAATTCGGAGTGAGTGACGTAAGTGGAACAGGATGAAGGTAAAACGCAAGGAAAACATTTTTAATTAAATTTAACATTGGTCTATTATTTTAATCAAAACAAAAATTATAATTTCTCTTTCGTCTCTCACTCTGTGCTGTTATAAAAAGCGACACTTCAACACTGTGCATCTTATTTTTGTAATGATCGATTTCTTACAGAAATATGTTCTGTAATAATGACGATAAATGAAATCTATGGCATGGATCTATTATTGTGCTCCACAAACGCCTTTATAATGGTTGTCGCAAAGTTGTTTAGAATTTACATGAGTGCTGCCGAACATAAAAGTGGTTTTATATTTCTGAACAACGTAATTTGGATGATTTATGGATGCCAATTCGTCTTAATGTGTTGGGTATGCACGCTGACTCACAAAGAAATAAATAAAATTGGATTATATATCAGCCAATTTATATTGAACGCTCAACACTCAACGAAGATCAACAAGTTGTCCTTCTTTCGAAATTTTCGCAATAAAGAACCGGAACAATTAGAAATTTATAACAATGAACGTAATGATAATACTGTACTCAATCTTAATGCATTCGGAATGGAAAGTCTCCTACGATCAAATTTCGAACGCGACTCTGTTCGAAATGAAATCAATGATTTCTCGTTGCAGTTACAACAGTATAGAATTACATTCACCGCATGCGATTTCTTTCAAATGGATAATTCCTTATTGACCAGAGTAAGTATAATAGTATTATTTCGTATTTGTAAGAATATTAATTATTATTCGCTTTGTATTCGCTTTCAGTTCATCAGCGTTATCACAACGTACTTGATCATTCTGGTCCAATTTTACAAACCAGAAACACTCTAAACACGTTAAAGATAGAAAATATTGATAAATCGATGAAAGCAGTAAATGGAGTAAAAGCGTGTAAGGTAGAATTAAGAAGACACAATGATTTCTTTTTTATAATAAATTAATTATGCATTACGAATTTAAATACTTTTTTTACAGGAAATAAAGTCTCAAATCTCAGAAAATATTCACTATTAGTATAAATAAATGTGAAAATAGTGGACATGAATGTACGAAGCACGTGTTGTAATAAATAAAATGAAAGGGAAAAAGAAGTTCAGAGTAATAAACGACGCGTATATAAGACTTTTTTAGTCTACTTCCTCGATGGTAGGTCCACCACCTGCACCACCAGTGCCAGCACCTCCTGGAGCTGCACCAGGTGGGAATCCGCCAGGTGGGAATCCACCAGGTGCGGCTCCACCTTGGTACAATTTGCTGACAATAGGATTGCAAATGGATTCCAGCTCTTTTTGCTTGTCTGCGAATTCATCTTTCTCTGCCAGTTGATTCGAATCCAACCATGAGATCACTTCATTACACTTATTAATAACCTTCTGTTTATCCCCTGCATCAATCTTATCTTTAAGCTTCTCATCTTCCATCGTGCTCTTCATGTTAAAGCAATAAGACTCCAGTGAGTTCTTTGCAGATATTCTATCGCGCTGTTGCTCATCCTCGTTACGGTACGTTTCAGCTTCATTCACCATTCTCTCGATATCCTCTTTCGATAATCGACCTTTATCATTGGTGATAGTAATCTTATTCTCCTTTCCAGTTGACTTTTCAACAGCAGAAACATTCAAGATACCTGGAATAATAGAAATCATAGATCAGTTAATGTACTAGATCATTGAATATATTAAGGAATACTTTGTAAATGGAAGTGTATTAAAACATATACATACCATTAGCATCGATGTCAAATGTAACTTCAATCTGAGGTACGCCTCTCGGTGCAGGTGGAATGCCAGTAAGCTCAAACTTGCCGAGAATATTATTATCTTTGGTCATAGCTCTCTCTCCTTCATATACTTGGATCAGGACACCAGGCTGATTATCGGAATATGTGGTGAAAGTCTGCGTTTGCTTGGTTGGTATTGTCGTATTCCTCTTGATCAACGTTGTCATCACACCGCCAGCTGTTTCTATACCCAAAGACAATGGCGTAACATCCAATAACAACAGATCTTGAACTTCTTCAGATTTGTCGCCGTGCAATATAGCAGCCTGTACAGCCGCTCCATAGGCAACAGCTTCGTCAGGATTGATCGATTTGTTCAATTCTTTTCCGTTGAAGAAATCTTGTAATAATTTTTGAATTTTTGGTATCCTGGTAGATCCACCGACTAGAACAATACTATGAACTTGAGCCTTGTCCATTTTAGCATCCCTCAGGGCCTTTTCCACCGGTTCCAATGTGCTTCTAAACAAATCTGCACAAAGTTCTTCAAATCTAGCTCTAGTGACCGACGTATAGAAATCAATGCCTTCGAAGAGAGAGTCTATTTCGATGCTGGCTTGCGTCGATGAACTCAAAGTTCTCTTCGCCCTTTCACAAGCAGTTCTCAATCGTCTAAGGGCCCTCTTATTCGTACTTAAATCCTTCTTGTATTTCCTCTTGAACTCCTGAACGAAGTGATTCACCATGCGGTTATCGAAATCTTCGCCACCAAGGTGAGTGTCGCCTGCCGTCGATTTCACTTCGAAAATGCCGTCATCGATAGTCAAAATGGACACATCAAAGGTACCACCTCCCAAGTCGAAGATCAGTACATTCTTTTCCCCTGCAGTCTTTTTATCTAAACCATAAGCGATTGCAGCTGCGGTTGGTTCGTTGATAATTCTCAAAACGTTTAGTCCTGATATTGCTCCTGCATCTTTGGTGGCTTGTCGTTGAGAATCATTGAAGTATGCAGGAACGGTGATGACAGCGTTGGTGACAGTTTTTCCTAAATACGCTTCAGCAGTTTCCTTCATCTTTGTGAGTACCATCGAAGACACTTCTTCCGGGAAGAAAGTTTTCGTTTCACCTTTGTACGAAACCTTGATTTTTGGTTTTCCTCCATCATTTATCACTGTGAATGGCCAGTGTTTCATGTCACTTTGTACCGTTGCATCGTCGAAGCGACGTCCAATCAATCTCTTCGCGTCTGTTTAAAATATCAAATTTAATAACATTAATTTAATAACATTAAATTTAATATATGATATTAATTATGTCACAGACATTTGAAATATAAGTTAAACTTAACAAAGATTACGACAAGAAATACATATGAATTAATGAAAAAAAGGAATTTTTCATTTCTCACGCTCGTTAAACAAAACTAACACGAATGTTGTAAAAAAAAAAAAAAAAAAAAAA